TCTCTCTCTCTCTCTCCTCTCTCTCTTTGCATCATTGAGTTGAAATTGACCCATAGTGGGTTTTCAGAGGCAGTAAATCACATAGCTCACTCATCCTTCTCCTGCAGAGCTGCTGGTGAACTTGAACCACATGGCTTTGGGATTGAAGCACAGTGTCTTACGAGTAGGCTACCAGAGCTATATGATACACTTGAGCTAATTGCTGTAGTCACAGGGTCAATCCACCTTGTTGGAGGGGAGGGGTCTTTTCTTTCACTCTCCCAAGCATGACATCCTTTTCCAAGGAATATTTAATTGCTAGGGAAGACCATTCCTTGAAAGGGGATATCATGTTTGAGAATATGGTCAGCAAAAGAGGAAATCTCCCAACCAGGTAGATTGACAAGGAGACTACAGTGAAGAGCTCAGGTGTGTCAGAGATGATGAGGATGAGGATGGCACAGGGTAGGACAGGGCTCAGATCTGTTGTTCATAGGGTCATTTGGAGGCATACTTGACAGCACCTAACAACAATAACACTGTACTCATGAAGTTATACAATCATTACTGTCTGATTGCAGGATATTATATTATCCCAAAAGCAAATTTCTGCTCTGAAGGTCCTTCAAAGATCCTACTTTGAAGAGGTTTATCTTCTGGTACGATATCCAACAAGGTTCTTTCATTATCCATAAAGTTTTCTAAGGCCTTTCATTTCAGAAGGGAATGGCCAGTCCTGTTTCTTAGTCTGTCTTAGTCTGGAAGATCCACTGACACCTGTCTACCGTGAGAGAGCCTGCTGGTCTTTGAAATGATAGTAGCCTATCTTTCCAGCATCACAACAACGTGCAAACCACCACAGTGTGGCAAACTGACAGATGAGGGGTGAAAAATTTCAGAACACTTAATTGTACTAGTGCAAAAGCAATACTTAGTTCAAGAAACAATTGTCCAGACAGAACAAGTAGACACTGAATGGTGTAAAATCAGGAAAGATTTATGTCAAGGTTGTGTTCTTTCTCCATGCCTATTTAATCTGTACACTGAGCAAACAATTCTAGAAACTGAACTATATGAGTAAGAAGGTGGCAAAAGATTGGAGGAAGACTCATTAACAACCTGCATCATGCAGATGATATAACCTTGCTTGCAGAAAGTGAAGAAGAGAAGACTTGAAGCATCTACTGAAGAAGAGAAAAAGCCTTCAATATGGATTATATCTCAACATCAAGAAAACAAAAATCCTCACCACTGGACCAGGAAATAATATCATGATCTATAGAGAAAAGATTGAAGTTGTCAATAATTTCCTTTTACTTGAATCCACATAGCAGTAATCAAGTAATCGAAAGATTTGAAGTTGGATTTACTTTACTCCAAGAACTACCTGGCCAAAGACCTTTATATCTAGAGGTAGTTGGCTCCCTGGATCTGAGATGTATAACAGAAGTCTGGGTCATCTGGCAAAAAATAGTAAAATAAAAGAAAATAAAATAAAAAAATAAAATAAAATAAAATTATAAAAGCTACCCAAGTCTTTTGCCCACTTTGTTATTCAGTTATCTATTTCTTATGGAGGCCCTGTAGTTGTCTATGAACTTTTGTTTTGAGACCCTTGTCTGAGATGTTATTGCCAAATATTGCCAGACAATAGGTTTCCTTTTCACCTTTTTGAAAAAAGTTGTTGATGCACACAGAGACTTAATGTTTAGGATATCCTGTTTGTCAATGTTATTATTCTGTGTTTTCCAGCCACTTTATACCATAGGTTAGGGCTTCTAAGTTTGGTCCTTATCTTTGTGGTTTAGGCCTTATCTAGGTCTCTGATCCACCTGGAGTTGATTTTTTGTGCAAAGTGTGAGGTGTGGATCCTGTTTCAGCTTTCAGCACATAGAAATCCAGTTTTGCCAGCACTACTTGTAGAAGAGGTTGTTGTTTTCCCACTTGATAGGTTTTGTTTCATTGTTGAATACCAGTTGACCATGCGTAGGTGGGTTAATTTCTGGGTTCTCAATTCTGTTTCCATTGGCCTATGTGTCTCTCACCATACTAGTACCATGCTATTTTGTCTATTATGGACTTTTCACAAAGAAAGAAACTTGAAAGACAAACAGACACATGAAAAAAATGCTCAAAAATCACTGGCAAGAAGAGATGCAAATAAAAATCACAGTAAGATACTAACTCATCCTGGTAGCAGTGGCAAAGCTTAACAGCAAACACTGGAGAGGATGTGGAGAGACTGGAACTCTCATAAACTGTTGGTGGGAATGTAAAATGGTACAATCACTCTGGAAGGCGGTTTCCTTAGTAAGCTGAACATAGAAATGCCAAATGACCAACTATTCTGGTGCTAGGATTATACACCAAGGAAAATGGAACTGAGATGCAAATGCAGATCTGTACACCTATATATCTATATCTATATTTATATCTATATATCCATATATAGCTCTATCTATTATCTATCTATCTATCTATCTATCTATCTATCTATCTATCTATCTATCATCTATCTATCTATAGCAGCATTATTCACAATAGCAAGAACATGGAAACAGCCTAAATGTCCATCAACAAATGAATGGATTGAGAAATTGTGGTACATTCACACAATGTAATATCATGCAAAACTCAGGAACAATGATTTTGAAAAATTCTGTATAACATGGGAGAGGTTAGAGAATATGAATTAACTAACTCAGTCTTATAAGGACAAATACTGCATAAGACCTTTATTGTAAAAATAGAACTATGACTCGACAGCACTTAATAACAACAGCGACAACATAGAGAGAGCTCTGTTGGCCTAGTGGATAGAAAGTTATGCTACCAAGCAAAGATGGATGATTTTAATCTGCGGCCCTCAGCCCTGGTTTTAATTGTTTTTGGTCAAACATTCTTCTAAGTGGTATAGCACTGGTCTGTCCATTTGTACAAAGGTAACTCGTGGTTGCTGTGAAGCTGAACACTGTAGCACTGATTTGTCAAATGTGATATGGCTTCCCATGGTGGACAGTGTTTGGTGGAGCTTTCTAAATAAAACAAGCGTGGAAGTGGGAGTGGTATCCACTTCCAAAATAGCTTGCCTCCGGAAACTCTATGAATGTGGAGAAATGATGAAACTTATACAAGTGTTCAGATCTTTTGTTCATAGGGTTGCTATGAGTTGTCTACAACTTCATGGCACTTAATAACAACTAATAAGATATGAATAAAAGTGCAAAGGGGGAAAGGAAGGGTAGGTAATGAAGGAAATTGCAGAGTTTGGTGGGTGGATGGAGGGGGTGAAGGAATTAGGAAAGATCCAGTGGGGACGTGAAAAGATGGGGTGATGGTGGGCATAGATCAAAGGTGACTAATTTTACAAAACACAGTGTAGAGGAATGATCATATGAAACATAATATGAATGAAGGAGTGTGTGAAACACAATGTACATGAATGAAACACAATGTTTACAAATTGTGTATGCGAACAAATAGAAAAATTTTTAAAAAAGCATGCTTAACTATGTCAGCATATTGCTTGTTTACAAAAATTAAGGGGGAAAATGTAAAAGCTAGTTCAGGCATCTGAAGGAGGACTGGGATGAAACTGGAGATTTCTTCCACGTGTGAGAGCCTACAATTCCGAAATTCAAGCCCAGGGAAGTTGAAAAGATTTGTCCTAAATTACCCAGCAGTTGTAGAGCTAGAAGTGGCTCTAACAATTTAAAAACTTGTTCTGCTCTTCCCAGAACAAAGTGTCCGCTTCCCTCTAGGTTTCTGCTGGCTTCTGCTCGCCTTTGGGAGCTGTCCAGCCCTTCAACCATGGTTGAAGTCCAGCAAAAGCGAAACCCTTATGTAACAAGTTGTTTGACAAGTTTGTGACTTTTGTAATTAGAGAATTTGGTCTAAATGCTTAGATAAGAGGTTCCTTTCTGGGTAGGCGTATCTCAGAGGTCCCTATAAACAACCAGAACAAGGGAGAGCTATCAAAGTTCTCTCCAGATTGAGCTTCTGGGCATCAGGGCAGGGACCGTGCAGCCTCTGGGAGCACAGAGCACAGAAAGACCTCTCTGGCCACCAGTGCTGCAGCCCTTCCATGATGAGGTACATTGCTCTGGTCCTGACCTCCCTGGTAGCTGCTGCAGTTTCTGGTAAGTCATTCTGAAATACAAATATTGGGGGCAGGGGGACATAATTGTAAATATTTGTTTTAGAATCAGGCAAAGTTCAGAGACAAATGAAGAGAAAATTGTCCTCATGGTAAACATCGAAATGGCACCCCTGTTCAAACATCTCACCCTCTTCTAGATCATTCACTGTGGTGTTAAATGCAAGTCCTTCTTACTCACCTTTTATTCACCACGCTGAAACTATAGCTGAAAACTATAGCTGCACCTTGTTTGCTTTCACTGGGGAAAATTAGTCTAAGGATGTGGTCAGGGTCAGTTTTTCCAGTTTCTTCTCTTTCTACACAAAACCAAGCAAGATCACACAGGAAGCCTCCCAAATAGTATTATTTTTAAACTGCTAAGCTCCTCCAGTAACGAAAACAGCTCAGGGCCAGTCTCCCTTCAAGTGGCCCCTGTTCTGCACGCTTTCTCTGACACTGGCTCACCCACATCTCAACTGTGTGGGGAAAAAATAACAAACCACCCACCCAACACTTGATCTTCTTCCTTCATCTTCATGTCCCCCACTTTTGGCCACATTCATTCCTGTTTATACTTTCTTCAAAAGCCTACATATATATATAGACACATCATTGCCTTGCTTCACACTGTTCCTTCTAATCACTAGAAGGAATTCATGTTCAATGTAGACAATTTTGAAAGCACACATCAAAGTGACCAATAATAACGTCACTCACGGGGCTTTGATCCACGTGCATCAAAGAAAGTCCATCTCAGAGTTATTAGTAATCATTAACTACAAGCACAAAAATAGATCTAAATGTCCATAGTAAGGGATTGCCTATTAATAGCATCAGACATGGACAGTGTTTTGTAACCTGTTTTGCACGAAGAGTGTCTTGTGTCATTGACCATCTATGTTCTTCTTTTCTGTTCTGGGCCCACATTTTGAGGAGATGCTGATATTTCGTCTGTATCTAAAGGGCTGCAGTTTAGAATTGAGCAGGCTAGCATTTTTCCTATGCGGAATGCTTAAAACACATAGAGGCTGATGTGTTGGAGAAAAACCTTTAACGACGGGCGCAATCGAGTGTCTGACAGGTCATCTGCTACATGAGAGGGGGAAGATGAGTACACGGCCTTCTCAGAGAAAGGGGAACTAGGACCGATGGTCAGAAGCTACAGAGAGATGAATTTCAGCGCAGAAGGGAAGAATGACCTGCTTTGAAAGGAAGAAACTGAAGCCGACAGGAAGCTAAGCCCAGCCTCTCCTCCCTCTGAGCCTGCTCAGAGCCTCCAGAAGGATATTCCTCAAGATTACGGAGTCATTCTCTCTTATACCAGCTGCTCAGTATTTAGCTGCCACTGAAACATAGACCAGTATTAGAGCCCCACACTGACATGCAGTTTTCACATGCCTGGGTGATTATTCCCTTAGAGGTTCTACCTGCTCCAAATGGTCCACTTGCGCTTCCCCAGGCAGACCCTGAACTTTGCTGTCTCAGAAACTCAGCACCTCCTCTCTATTTCTGCTTTAAAGTTTTTTACCCCCTCTTCTATCTCCTCTCGTAGAAATTGTCCTGCCCTGCCAGTCCCAGCTCCAGGGCCAATTCCTCCATGACGCCACCAATCAGAATGGCAACAGTTCCCTCTCATGACTGTGTACCTCGCTCTCTCCTGGCCCAGCACTAGGTTTAAGACTGTCTGCGACTCACCTTTTTGGAGGTTCAGAACACCTGAGAGTCCGGACTGCCCCTTCTCACCCTCTCTTGCTAGGATCCTACTGGATGAAACTTTCCAGACTGCTGAGAGAGGAAAACCTATGTCATGGTCAATCCTAGCAGCCCTTCTCTTTGTATTTATTTATATATATTTTGGGGTTTTTTAATATTTATATTTACATGTTAGTAGGTTGTTGAAGTGAAATTCACATAGCATGAAAGTAACCATTTTTAAAACCAACAGTTGTAGAGCATTTAGTATATATTCATAATAGTGTACTACTTCTGTCTAGTCCTAAAACACATTCGTCACTACAAATTAAGGCGTGACATCCACTTCCTAAACAACATGCCTCTGGAAACTCTATGAACTTTGATGAATGTCGATAGTTGTAGAGGGGCTTCAGGCCTTTTGTTCATAGGGTCTCTCTGAGTTGTGTTTGACTTGAAGGCAATCAACAACAACAGCAACACAGTACACAGTTTCTTCCCTGCTCTCGGCAGCCATCAATTAGTATTAATTGTTTTTTATTATTATCTTGTTGTTGTTGATTGCCGTTGAGTTGAGCACAACTCACAGCGACCCTATGAACAAAAGACCTGAAGCCTTTAACTATGGTCATTCCTCCAAGTTCACAGTTTCCACAGGCATGTTGTGTAGAAAGTGGATGCTACTCCTGCTCCAAATAATTTAAATAAATATTTACTAATCAAATTAATTTTTCATTCAACTGTTCATACATATTTTGTTACAGGATATTGCTTTCAGTATGTACAATGTAATCGCACTTTTGCCACTTTCTTCTAGTAATTATGGTTTCCATTAATCTTTCTGTATCTTTCTGTGTCTTCTTTATCTTTTTTTCAAGTGCATAGCAGTCTTTATTTTTTTCTTCATTTTTAAAATTTATTATACTAGTTTATTTACAAAATTAGAATACATTGTTTTTCAGACCATATTCTTCCAATTTCCCTCACCCCCCCCATCAAACTGTACAACCCTATGATTAATCCTGGCCCCTCACATCCTCATCCCTCTGCTTCCGCCCTTCCCCCTGCGCCCCTTGGATTCTCACACTCATTGTACAATAATGGTTTTATACAATGATTGTCCTTGTGGGAATGCATTTATGTAATATAATGCTCTCCAGTCTCTCCCAAGTTAGGTAATAATTAACAAATCATTGCTCCTGTGTGCTGTATTGCATCCCATTGTATGAACGTATCATAATTTCTCAATCCATTTGATTGTGGTTGGACATTTGGGCTGTTTTCATGTTCTTGTGATAGTAAATAATGCTACTATGAACACTGGTATACAAGTCTCCATTTGTGCTTCAGTTCTCATTTTCTCAGGGTATATTCCAAGCACTGGAGTAGGTGGGTTATATGGAATTTCTATGTTTAGCTTTTTGAGGAAGCTCCAAACTGTCTTTTAGGGTGGTTGTACCATTTTACTATCCCACCAGGAATGTATAAGATCCTCTCCAACATTTATTGCTTGCTGTCCTGTAAAAATTTGCGATTGTTACTGGAGTGAGATGGTATCTCATTGTGATTTTGATTGCATCTCTCTTACTGTCAGTGATTTGATTTCATGTGTCTGTTGGCCATTCAAATGTATTCCTCTGTGACAATTCTTTCCCTGTTTTTTGCCCATTTTGTAATTTGTAAGTCTTTTTCTTGTGGAGGCCCAGAAGTATTCTGTAAACGTCCTTTATGAGACTCTTGTCTGAGATGGTGTTACCAAATGTTTGTTCCCAGTTAGTGGGTTTTCTTTTCACCCTGTTGGAAAAAGTTTTTGATGTGCACAGGGGCTTAATCTTTAGAAGGTCTCATTCATCAATTTTATCCTCTTCAGATTTTGCATTTCTGGTTGTATTGGACAGCCTCTTTATACCACAGATTAAACCTTCTAAGATTGATCCCAGTTTGTCTCTTACAAACTTCATGGTTTTGGGCTTTACTCTCAGGTCTCTGATCCACCTTGAGTTGAAAGAAAGTCTTATCTACTCTTTCTTTAATAAAATTGTGCAGATTATATCCTTAATATATATTGCTATTCCTTTTAACCATCTTACTTTGTTCCTATAATCTATTTACTAATTTTTTTCTCTCCTCTCTCTCCCCTTTCATCCCTGGTAACCATTCAAGAATGAGTCTATCTGTGTGTAAATCTTGCCTTAGCTTTTGATAACAGTGATCTTATAATTATTATTTTGTGATTTACTTAATGCATTTAGCATACTAATCTCTGCATGCTTTCATGTTGAATTGTGTTCCATGGATTATTTATTTTTTAATGTGGCATGATATTCCGTTGTGTGAATGTCCCATAATTTTTGTTGTTGTTGTTCTGTTCAGTCTAGTTGTCTGCGACTCAAAGTGACCCATGTACAACAGCCCTAAATCCTGCTCTATCCCTTGCCAATCTTATTGTCTCTGACACACCTATCCCTGTCACCCCAGTGACTGCATCAATCCATCTCACTGAGGGTCTTCCTCTCCTGTGCTGACCCTCCTCCCTCCCAAGCATGACCTCCTTCTCCAAGGACTGATTCTACCTTGAAACATGTCCAAAGTACGTCAGACAAAGCTTCACAATCCTTGCCTCCAAGGAGCAGCCTGGTCTCACCCTCTCCAGGATGACCTTGTTTGTTCTCCTAACAGTCCATGGTATAGTCAGTACTCTTCTCCAGCACCACAGCTCAAAGGCGTCAACTCTCCTTCTATCATCCCTAGTCATTGCCCAGCTCTCTGATAAATAACAAGTAATTGCAAAGACCATCAACCATATCAGGTGCTCCTTAGTCTCCAGACTGACATAGTTGCTCTTCAGTACTTTAGAGAGGTCTCTGACAGCAGACTTTCCCAATGCAATTTTAATTTCCTGGCTACTGATACCAAGAGTGTTGATTGTAAAGCCAAGAAAAATGAAACTGTTAACAATCTCAAGTTCTTCACCATCTATCATGATTCTGCCAATAGGCCCAGTGGTGAGAATCTTTGTATTCTTGATGTTGAGCTTCAATCCATATCCAAGGCTGCAATCCTTGACCTTCTGCAGTGAGCATTTCAGGTCCTCCTCAGTTTCAGCAAGCAGGGTTATGTCATCTGCATAACGCAGATTGTTAATGAGTCTACTTCCAATCAATCCTGAGGCCACACTTCTCCTCATATAGCCCAGCTTCTAGAATAATTTGTTACACCTATAGATTGAAAAGGTGTGGAAATGGGACACATCCTTTTACTTTGTCATTTGTCCATGGATGGATAACTGCATTGTTTCCATTTCTTTATTATTATAAATAATACTGCACTGAACTTGGGTGCACATATGTATGTGTCAAAGCATTTCTTTCTGTCAGGTACGTATCTAGTTGTGAGATTGCTGAATCAAATAGATACTTCTACTGCCCACTTTCTAGGGAAGCATGACACTGCTTTCCACAATGGTGGCTCAGTTTTACATTTCCATAAAAAAAGATATGAGTTCCGGTCTTTTCACACCGTTACCAGCATTTGTTGTTTACTGTCTTGTTGACCTTTGCTTTTGTTGCTATTGCTGGAAGGTCAAACCAAACATGACTCATAGTGACCCTATGAATAACAGATCTGAACCCTGTCCTGTGCCAGCCTCACACTCGAGCCCATTGCTGCAGTCAGTGTGTGAATCGACCTGGTGGAGGGTTTTCCTCTCCGTCACCATCCACCTGCCCCTCTGCCTTTCCAAGCATGATGCCCTTCTCAATACAATAGCCTTTCCTAACAACATGTAGGAGAGTTAAAGCTTCACTATCTTTGCCTCCAAAAAGCACTCTGTGCCTTTTCCAAGACATATCTGTAGTCTTTGAGCTATTCACTACTCTTCTCCGACACCACAGTTCAAAGGCATCGATTCTTCTTATGTCATTTTTATTTGTTGTCCAGTTCTCGGCAGCATAGCAAAGATTGAAAAGAGCATGGTGAAGAGTGGCGAGGGAGTCTGAATTGAGACCAATCTTTACTCTGTCTCTATGCATTTGAGCATCAGGACTAGAAGGGAAACTGCTCAACACGAGTATGGGTAATAGAAACAACCCACAGGAAACGTCATACTCAGGCATCCTCCAGGGAGGTGAGAGGAGTCAACATGGTAGTTTCTGATTAAAGTCTGTTTTGCTTCTCTGGAACAAGGGATTGGGATCTTCAAGATCGTCACCAAGGGGAGATGGATAGAGAAAGCAAACCAAAGAAGCACAAAGCATTTCCGCCTTTATATTAATGATTTGGGGTTGTTGTTTTTTTCCGCTTTTATATTGGTTTATTTATAAAGTTCAAATAAATTGTTTTCCACACCAGATCTTTCCTATTTCCTTCACCAACCCCACTCATCAAATTATGCAACCCTATTATTACCACCCCCCCATCCTCACCTCTCTGCTTCCACCATTCCCCCCACCCCTTGGATCCTCATACTCATTCTACAATAATGGTTTTATACAGTGTTTGTCCTTACGGGTCTGAGTTAGTTCACTCAGCATAACGTTCTGCAGTCCCTCTAAAGTTAAGCAGTAATTTACAACATCATTTTGTTTGTTTGTTTTCCACTTTTCCTCTTTGATGTGTCCTCGCTTCCTCCCAACCTCCTGCAGGGCATCCATCCTCGCCACCCATCGTGGATACTGTGAATGGCAAAGTCCTTGGGAAATATGTCAGCCTAGACGGATTTGCACAGCCCATGGCCGTCTTCCTGGGAATCCCTTTTGCCAAGCCCCCTCTCGGATCCCTGAGGTTCTCTCCACCGCAGCCTGCGGAGCCCTGGAACTTCGTGAAGAACACCACTTCCTACCCTCCCATGTAAGCCGTGGGGGTGGCTGTGGCATTTTGCCTGGGAATGGCAACTTAAACGTGAGCCAGAAAGGAGTGGAGGCAATTGTCTGACAGGCTTCTCGTTTGTTCTGGGATTCATTAAGTGAACTAAACAAGCCTTTCTATGTTCCTAGAGCTTGCATTCTACCAGGGAATGACAGCTGCAAAACAATACACATGTTAATAAAGAAATTGTGTAATATGTCTATAAAAACTGAAACCAAGCCCATCGTTTCTGGGACATGGCAACCCCATGTGTTACAGAGTGGACCTTTCCCAGAGAATTTTCTTAGCTCTCCTTTTCACAGAAGGAGCCCAACAGGACTTTCTTCCGCTGAAGCTGCTGGGGTTGGGGGGTGGGTCTGAACCAGCAGATAGTGATTGAAAACTACTGTCTTCACCCAGACACCTTGAAATGTTAGAATAAGAGAAATACTTTGGGGAAAAGAAACAACTGACAGCCTGAGGGGGGATCAGAAGTGATAATCCTATTTATCCTCCAACCTTGAACCCTTGGCATGGTTGGGAAGTGGGTGAGACAGTGAGGAGAGTGTGTTAACCAAGCAAGTTATAAACCCACATGCATTCAGCTGTGGTCACTGTGTGCTAATCACACTGGTCACGCTGGACAGAAAAAGCGGAACTTTATTGTTGTTTTCCCACCTCCCCTGGGCACTGTGTGCTCCCACTCAGACCCCATTCTGCTCTGCAATATGCTTCTGAGAGCTTCCCTGCTCGGCCTTCTGCTGTTTTTCCTCTTTCCTTTTATAATAATAATTTTCACACTCGTCATTTCCTACTTACAAATAACATAATTACTCATTACAGAGAAGCTTCAAAAGAGTCAGGAATAAACGTGAAAAGATGGAATTAATCTACAGTTCTACGTTCTATCACTCAGAGAGAGCTGCTATGAAATTTAGAAAATACTTGTTTAGCCTTTTCTTCCTATGTTGAATAACTAGTTGTTCTTCCTTTGAGAGGAACCACACTCCTCGGAGAGTTTGGCTGCCCGGTTTGCTCACTTAAAAACAGCCTGAATGCTGTCCCGTGTCATTAAGTAACATAGTCTGATATTTAATAGCTGTGCTGATAACTGGTGCTTACATCATGATTTATTTATATAATCTCCTGCTTGGGAATACGAAATTATTTTTTATCTTTATTTCCTAGTATTTATCACACTCCAATGAACATCTTGGAGCTAAATCTTTATGCAAAATCAATTACATTCTTTAGGAGAAGCCCTAAGAATAGATGTTGGAATGGTTTGCCTTGGTGATTCTCAGATGCCTACCCAACCCCCACGGAGCTCCCCGAAGCCTGGTCATACATACTTCATGTGTCAATTAAACCTCTCAGCCTATGGCCTCCCAACCCAAGAGACTGGGAGACAGTTCCTCACTGGGATCCGGCTGAAACTCTGTCTTCCCTCCCTCCTCAGGTGCTCTCAAGATGCAGTGGGTGGACAGGTGCTCTCAGAACTCTTTACTAACAGAAAGGAGAGTATTCCCCTCAAGTTTTCCGAAGATTGTCTTTACCTAAACATTTACACTCCTGCCGACTTGACGAAGAGAAACAGGCTGCCGGTAAGCCAGGGGCACCATTGATCATGGTCTGCCAGCTCTGAGCCACTAAGGTTTTCTGACACAGAGAAGGGGACAGGTGGGGGTGGCTCTGGGGTGGGGCATTGTGAATCAAGGCAATTATTTCAGAGGTCCCAGAGCTTCCTTTCGGGATGCCCAGATTGTGCAGACCATTAATACACTTGGTTACTATCTGAAAGATGGAAGTTTTAAGTTCCCTTACAGACACTTCAAAACAGTCCTGACGATTAACTTCAGAAAGACACAACCACTGAAAAGCTTATGGAGCTTGTTCCACTGGGACGCACTGTGAGTTGGGATCTACTTCATAGCAGGAGCCTTCTTCACGCACCAGGATCAGACAGCTTGACCACGGGGAACCAGCGTGTCTCCTCCCAGTGACCAACAGCTCCTGGGGAAGCTGGTTGTCCAGGCTTGAGAAAACATATAGTTTTCCCAAGTGTCAGAGCAGGATGGCTACTCTTAGCTGTCTGATTATTGTTGTTAGTAACTGTTAAGATAAGTACAGCTCATAATGACCCTATGAACAACAGGTCTGCACCCTGCCCTATCCTGTGCCATCCTCATCATCTCTGACACACTTAAGCCCATTCATGTAACTATTGTGTCAATTCTTGGATTCTTGGATTGTAAATCCAAGTAAGATGAAGTTGTTGACAGTATCAATCTTTTCTCCATCTATCATGATGCTGTCCATTGGTCCAGTGGTAAGAATGTTTGTGTTCTTAAAGTTGAGATGCACCTCATATTGAAAGCTATAATCTCTGATCTTCTGCTGCAAGTGCTTCAAGTCCTCCTCACTTTCAGCAAGTAAGATTGTGTCATCTGCACAACGTAGATTATTGATGAGTCTTCATCTATTAGCGTTCAGCTTCTTGAATAATTTGCTCAGCATACAAGAATGAATAGGTCTGGATGGAGGATACAGTCGTGATGCACGTCTTTCCTGATTTTAAACCATGTAGTGTTTGGTAAAGGTTTTGTGTGAGCACAATTGAGTGACCTAGGATTTCCATCCATCTCAACATCAGCCATCATTTGCTATGATACACACAACCAATTGGCTTTGCATAGTCAATAAAACACAGATAGGCATTCTTCTGGTGTTCCCTGCTTTCAGCCAAGATCCATCTGATAATAGCAATGATGTCGCTGGCTCCGTGGCCACTTCTACATCTAACCTGAACTGCCAGCAGTTCTCTATGTACTATTCTAGCTGATTTTGAGAGATCTTCAACAGTATTTTGTTTGCACGTGATATTAATGATATTGTTCAATAATTTCCACATTGTGCAAATCATCTTTCTTGGGAATGGGAACAAATACCGGTCTCTTCCAGTCATTCAGCCAAGCAGCTGTCCTCCAAACTTCTCTTTTGAGGCTGAAGAAAATGAAAACAAGTCCATGAGAACGAAGGTACGATTTTGAGTCTAACCCACCTGTATTTAAAAATAGTCTTAAGAATAGGTTTGAGGCATTGAAAAATAATGATTGAAGACCAGATGAGTTGTGGGATGACATCACGGATACCTAAAAAAAGAGCAAAAGGCCATTACAAAGACAGAGGAGAAAGAAAAAGAGCGAAATGGATGTCAAACGAAATGGAAAATCATACTAGATTGTTGAGAAGACAAAACAAAAGGAAGAGATCCTGAGTGGTGATGATGATGATGTGTAATTGTTAGATTAGGAATGTGATACTCTGAGCAGATAAGACATGCTTTCAAATAAAGGTAGACAGAGCTGAAAGGGATCTCAGATGCAAGCTGCCACTCCATCTTACACGGTAAATTAGCAGGACATCTCTAATTCTCAAAACACTGCCCTTTGAGCCTAGGACTCAACCTATCAGCATCTGCCGATGACAGTGTTCTGTGTCCCATAAGAGATGGGAGTGTGAGGCAGCCTAAAAGGCACTTTTCTTTGCCTTTGGCCTGCTTTCTGAGATTTTTATGGTGGCCAGCTTCCTTGGCTAATTCTCTTTGGCACAGGCTGATAGTTCAGTGAGTCAGCATTTCTGGACTAAACAGAGGCTCAGTGTTGGAACAGCTGCAAGACACGCCAGGGCCAGGGGTTAGTGAGGAGGAAGGAGGCTCACATTGGCTGCTTGAGGAAAGAGGTGAACCCTGGCGTGGAGGAGGGCGGGCGCTAGCACCCAGCCATACTCTGGGAGCATTCAGCATGGTGCTCAGGTGGGGGACACAGTGCCTGTGAATTTGTGCCTGAAAGCTGGCCCTATCTGTGCTTTGTAAGGCTTGGGGAGGTAGAACAAAGGATCACTCATTCTTCTGTGAGGATATCCTGGGCGATGCAATCAATCCACAGGCTTGACTGTTAACCAAAAGGTCGTGGGTTAGAGATAACTTCAGAATAAAGGCCTGGTGATCTACTTTTAAAAGCCACTCAAAACCCACAAAGCATAGTTCTTTTCTAATATACAAGGTGGGGTCACCATGAATTGGAGTCCTAGCCCTACACACATAGAGAAGGAATGTAAGATCACGCACATCCCCTGACTTCAGGGATTTTTCCACAGGGGATGGACAGACCTACACTTCTTTGGCAATTTGTTGCTGACCAGCTCTGAGGTTCAGCCTTTACTCAGAACGGGCTGGAAATTCATGCCTTCCTCCCGAGATGCACAATGACCAAAGTGTGGTGGAAACAGGGTTCTAGGAACCTGGAGACAGGAAGGACTCTGGTTATAAACACAGGTCCTGGAGCCTTAGGCTCTGGGTTCTAATCCTGGTTCTGCCTCTTACAAGCTAAAAGACTGGGCAATTACTGAACTCCTCTAAGCCTCAGTTTCCTCAAAATGGAGAGGAGATTTCCCATCTTTCTCTCATGGAGCAACTGGTAGACTCAATCTATTTGCATTTGAGGTGGCAGCACAAATTCTTCCCTTACATGCCACCAGAGCGTGTAACCACATGTGACTAGTGAATAAGTATAAACCCTTCATTTCAGTGTTTGGCTAAGTACACAAAGCAAGTACTGAATAAACATTAGTTTATGAAACTCCAACATGAGTTGAAACGAAGCGAGCTCTTAGTGCTTCCCAAACAATAAGCTCACTCCATTGAAATCATCGACTTCAGAGTGCTGAAGGACTCAGCTTCTTAACTCTGGAGCCAGCTGCCAGGGTTCAAGTCTTGTTTCAGCCACTTTGTGACCTTGAACAAGTAAAGTGTATCTATTAAATAGCCGCTTCCTTGTTTATCAAGCACTACATTACTTGTTATGCATCAGAGAGTTGGATAATGACCAAGGAGGATAGAAGGAGAATTGATGCCTTTGAGCTGTGGTGCTGGAGAAGAGTATTGAGAATACCATGGACTGCTAGGGAAACAAACAGATTTGCTCTGGAAAGGGTTAAACTGGGTGGCTCCTTGGAGGCAAGGATTCTGAGGCTCTGTCTAACATACTTTGGACATGTTGTGAGGAGAGACCAGTCCTTGGAGAAGGACATCATGCTTGGGAGAGTGGAGGGACAGCGCAGGAGGGGAAGGCCCTCTATGAGGTGGATTGATTCAGTGACTGGGGTAATCGGGATGGGAGTGTCAGAGGCAGTGCGATTGGCACAGGACAGAGCGGAGTTTAGGGCTGTTTTACATAGGGTCACTATGAGTTACAAGCGACTCGATGGCACTTAACAACAACAACAACAACATTACTTTAGGTGAATAAAACAGTACCTGGCAAACCTGAACATCTCTCCCTTTTATTGTTGATGTTCGTAGTGACCCTGTGAACTTTGCCCTGTCCTGTCCTGTGCCATCCTCATGACCTCCAACTTGTTCAAGGCCATTGTTGCCGTCAATGTGTCACTCTGTCTTCTTGAGTCTTCCTCCCTTTCTCTGACCTCCTAGCTTTTCCAACATTATGTCCTTTTCCAAGGATTGGTCTTTCCTGACAACACGCCCTCAGTATGAGATAAAGTGTCACCAGCCTTGCATCTACAGAACACTTTGGTTGCATTTTCTCCAACACAGTTTTGTTTGTTCTTTTGACAGTTCACGAGATATTCAATAATCTTTGCCAGCACCACAATTCAAATATATTGATTCTTGTCTGTTGTTGTTAAGTGCTGTCAAGTTGTAGACGACTCACAGCAACCCTGTGAACAAAAGACCTGAACACTTGAATAACTTTCATCTTTTCCCCATGTTCATAGAGTTTCTGGAGGCAAGCTATTTCAGAAGTGGATGCCACTCCTTCTTCCAAGCTTGTTTTAATCAGGAAGCTCCACCAAACACTGTCCACCATGGGTATTGCACTTGGTACATCAGTGTCACAGTGGTCAGCATCACAGCAACCATGAGCTACCTCTGTACAGCAAGTGGGCAGACCAGTGTTGTACCACATTGATTCTTCTCTAGTCATCCTTATTACTTGTCCCTCTTTCAGATACACAGAAAGCAATTGAAAATACCATGACTTGAATGAGGCACAGCTTAGTATTTAAACTGATATCCTTGCTCTGTAGCGTTTTAAAGAGTCTTGACAGCAGATAAGACTGTGTATTGACACCATTATTATTATTTCAGGCACACTCACTTCTCTCCTGCCTTGTAAGTTCTTTAAATTTCAGAGCCATGAGCCTGTGACTGTGTAGATGTGCTCTCACACTTAGTTCTTACCACAGTCCTGGCACATAGGAGGGCCTCAGCTCGTGGTAGTCTAGTAGTTGAGACTCCTTGGAAGAAGTGGACTTTGGAGTGGACTTTGGAGGGTGGGTGGGATTCGAGGATGCAGAGGAGGGAGAGGGAGGCATGTTAGGAAAATGATCCTTGGGTAGGTGGGCGTATTTAGATAATCCTTTGCTCTTGCAGAGAAGTGCAGTTCACAACCAAAGAGTTCTATGTGAAGTGGAAAACAAAGGCTTCCTGCAATATTCGCTGAGCTGGGTCAGGCAATGAGGGTGGTGAGAGTGCTGGAGAAACAGGACACATATAACCTGTGCTGTGCCCTTGGCAGTGCCAGGAGGCTTAGGTGCACGTGGCACTTGACGTGCTAAGGAGAAAAGCAGGGGCAGCCAGGGTGCATGGTGTGTGGTGGGGGGGAGGCGTGGCCTGGGTCCAGCTGGAGAGGGGGAAGAGACAACTGCCAGCTCCTGCTTTGCTGGACTGTGTGCGAAGGAACTTGGGAAGGAACTCTGATGGTGCAGTGTGCAACGTATCGGGCTGCTAAGGAAAAAGATCCGCAGTTCAAATCCACCAGCCAGTTCTTAGAAGATGTGCTGTCTCCTCCCATAAAGATTAACAGCCTCAGAAACCTGATGGCGGGTCACTGTGTGTTAGAACTGGCTGGAGGAAGTGGGTGGGTGATGAACTGTGTACACTGGCCTCCTTGAGGTCCCACCCCGCTCTGCTTCTTCCTGGTTGAGAAATAACCAACACGGTTGCTTCTTCCTGGCTCAGAAATAACCAGCACGGTTGCTTCCTCTGGGCCAGGTGATGGTGTGGATCCATGGAGGTGGTCTGGTGGTGGGTGGAGCCTCGACTTATGATGGACTGGCCCTGTCTGCCCATGAGGACGTAGTGGTGGTGGCCATTCAGTATCGCCTGGGCATCTGGGGATTCTTCAGGTAGGCTAACCAACTCTCCCCATTGAATACTGGCCCTCAAACTGAGAGTGCTTGGACTTCATTCTGGCCAGGTCACCTTCAAAGAAGACCTTTGCTAGATCCCTTAGTAAGACCTGCAAGTCCCCTTCATGAGGGCTGCTTCTCTCTCTCTCATTTCCTGGTCGCGCTGGTCCACTTAATTCTGAGCTTTCACATATGCTATTCATTTTGCCTAGAATCCCTGCTCAGCCTAACAAACTCCTATTCATTCACAGCACTGGGGATGAGCACAGCCCAGGGAACTGGGGTCACCTGGACCAGGTGGCTGCGCTGCACTGGGTCCAGAAAAACATCGCCAATTTTGGAGGGAACCCCGGCTCAGTTACCATCTTTGGAGAGTCTGCAGGAGGTATAAGCGTCTCTGCTCTGGTAAGATCAACACCAGCCCCTGGTGCTCATGGACTCCTTGGGAAACCACCAGTTAAGTATGGACACGCTGCTTTATAAGATCTGGGTTTGAGGATACGGATGACAGCACAACATCAGTATGTGTTCAATTTCACACCCTGGAGCTGTAGCAAAATGTCTACAGTTATAACCCTGCAATCTGGCATCTACTCTTGCAACCTGGTGGAGCTCTCTCTTTCTTTCCTACGCGCTGCAATATTTGAAGGTCCCCAAATTCTTCTGGGAAGTAGAGTAAGACTAATTTATGAACAAGGGGAGTTAAAGACAGGAGCAAGATAGAATGCCATTGTTTGACTCAAAGCCAGATTTTCTTAAACATCAAAGGAAGGACAACAATAAGAAAGGGTAATATCTCTTTGGCGAAGGCTGGATGGAGATGGAGGGGTTGGAAGTAGTGTACTTGAGGATGTGGTCTGGGGAGGTTTGCAAGAGGGTCTAGGGATTTGGGACATAGACAAGTCTGAGAACACCAGTGCCTAGCTAACCAGATCATAGCATGCTATTTAAGGAACCTTCCAGCTGTCTCAAAGTTGAGTAGAAGGTCAATGCTCTCACTATATTTTTAAAACATGTATTGGTTTCACAGTTGAAATTTGGAGGGATATCTTTAATATTTTTAATGTAGAGGTGGGGGAAAATATGTATAAATTCAAAGAAGAGAAAAATCATCCACAATTGCACTACCAACTAACACTTGTAGTTACTATTTTAACATGTGTTTTTCTGATAATTGCTCCATATTC